GGAGGTCTAAAGGACCAGCCTTTGGTTTTCCACTCAAAAGTGAAGTCATCTGGATACACAAGTGCCCCAAGGTAGGTTTAGCAGAGTTTCCTTTTTGCCTAATAGAAAATCAAATTACAGTTAAATTGATTGTTCACAAAATGATGGTAAAAAAAGATGACGGTAAGGAGCAACTTGAAATTAAATTCAAGCGAGAGAGGAAATGGAACTTTTTTTCTTTTTTATGGATTTCTCTATTTCTTAAAAGGGCTATGTTTTCACTGGCTCCGTGTTGCCCATATAAAGATTACACATCTTATTGTTTAACTACAGTCGTCCAGGTGAAGCTAATGTTGGCAGAGGTGCAAGCATGACAGATGTTGTTTCTTCATAAACTTTGTTTGGCTCCTTTTTTAGGGATTTTCAGGCATTCCAAAATTTAGGTAGTGGACATACTTTAAAAAAAAAAACAAGCATGAAAAGCATGAATTAAGGTTTGATGAATAAAAAAAAATGAATGCATACATGAAACATCAGTTTATTGTTTTGTTTTTGCTTTTCAGAAGGATCATGTTTTCACCTAAAACAAATCTTCAGAAGAATCCTTCCTCTAAAAAGGCTAACAAAAATATGTAAGCAGTACCATGATTTAAATAGTGAGAAAGGTTGAAAATGTCATTGCTGATAAAAACTAAACTTCTTTTTTTTTATCATGTAGAGATTTGCTCAGAGATTATCCTGCAGAGAGCGCAGCACCTACTACTCCCCACGTTTGTCTAAGCATTGCTTACAAACCAGTTTGTTGCCTTCAGTATTCAGGTGAGACGTTCTAATTTGTAAAGATTACAAATCAGAAGTGACAGATAACATTAACTCTCAGGTAAAGTAATGATAAAAAGAAGTGTGAGTTGACAGAGGCAAGAGTTTGAGCAAGTGAAGAGATCTGAGGTTTTGCAGTGAGAAATGGAGGTTGTCCATTTTTCATAGCTCTGGTATATACTGTTCAGTATAGTCTGAGCTTCTCAAAATATACAGTACATGACCTCTCATCGGTGCACCCAGAAGAATTCCAAAGTCATGTGTTAGTATTTCTCCATGATACTACGCCATGAAGACACTGAGTTTGTTTATAAACCGCTTTTCTGTTTTTGGTCATAATAAATCATCTGAAATGATTTTGTTTCCTCGTCTCTTCCAGGTGATGGAAAACATATTCTGTGTGGTCTTGGCGACAACTCAGTGTTATTGTACAAATCTTCTGTTGCTGGAAATCCAACAGTCTACACAGGTGCATGAAGTGAACATGAGCATCCTTTCCTTAAAAAACCCCTAGGTTGTACAATATTTGGGCTCAGTCACCTTTTTGTTTCTGTCAGCAGTGTTGGTGTTTCTCTCACAATCAAAATTATTCATTTTCTGCAATATTTATTATTTAAAAAAAAAATCCCTTCTCTCCCCTACAAGCGGTGTGTGTCTTTCACAGTTTGAGGGTTCTGCGCAGTATCTTAGCTGTACTTAGTACTGCACTCTTTTGGGCAGAGAGCTCTGATATCGTCCATATCCTCTCCAGTTCCTCTTTCAGGCCGTGGTACTTGTCCAGCTTCTCAAACTCCTGCTTGATGTTAGCCCTGTTATTCTCCATGACGCAGATGTTTCTGTTCACAGTGCCAGCCACTTGGTTGTGCTGTTCAGTGTATACTGTTCCCGCCTGCATTTTACATCCTGCCAGTATGTGTTGGACTCTCTGATGCCTCTTTTCGACATTCTGCACCTGGGGTTCTGTCTGGTCAATTGATCTGGTACTTAATGCCTGTTCTTGTGGTGCTATGATCAGTGCCTCGGTGTTGTCTGATAGGCCAGCCTTTTCCAGCCACTGGAAGCCACAGTTCTCAGAGAACTTGGCTTTTTTAATTAACTTCTGGCAAAGTCTGCTCATATTTCAGTGCAAAGGTTAACAGCATACCACTGATTTTAAAAAGACAAGGATGGCTTTAACACTAAGAACTTCATCTTCATCTTGCATTTATGTCTGCCTTGTTTGGACTATTCAGATTGAAATACTCTGAAATTTATCCTTGGCTTATGATGAAAGACTATGGGGAAATCCAAATAGTTCTCTTACTCAGCCATCACTGTCAAACATGTAGATAAAGAGTTCTCTTTTACCAGAAAAGTGAGCCTCCAGTACATGATGTCATTGTTTTTGTCAGACAGTTAAACCTAAGTGAAGAGACAAATAGAAAAGAATGAAACAAAGAATAAAGGTGGAACACTGTCACTAGAGACCCACTAGGTCTAAATAATGCCATTTCTTACTGTTCTACACACTATTTATGATCAAATTATTACTAAGAGCAGTCAATTCTGCGTGACACCCAGCGATCCTAGTGAGTAAATTAAACACTGACAGGTAAAGACAAAATATTCCAGAATCTGTTACACACTTGAGGGTTTGCATACAGCGAGAACACACATCCCACAAGGGGGCAGCAGAGAAAAGAAGACAAAGCTGAGGTGACCAGTAGGTCACTGTGAACCTCTCTTCACTCTGAGCAGTACCAGAAAGTAAATGTCGCACCCATGCCCCATATCTTCAGATTCATTTCAATCCTCTATCTTTTTATGAAGGTCATGATAAGCCAGTGCGCAGTGTGAGCTGGAGCCTCAACAGACAGTGGTGGTTGAGTGCATCAGAAGACCAAAAACTTCGAATTTGGACCCACAGCAGCCCAGACCCTGCCATTATCATGGTAAATGTCCCATCCATTCACTAACACACACTTGTACATAATTTTGTTTTTTGTGCATTACGTTCAGTCACTATCACCTTAAGCTTAACCATCACCACTTTATGCTCTATCTTATTCTTCAGTAAAATATTCACTGTCATTGTTCTCAGCCCAAATCCTAACCAACTAAACAGTGAAATAAAGATCAGCCAGTGACCTCATATTGCAAAAATGTCCTCAATCTGAAGGTTTTAAACCTCAAACAAAACAAAATAGTTACAGACTCTTGCTGTACAAATTTTCAGTTTTGCTCTTGTCTTCTTTGATTGCTGGAAGGAATTTGTCTGTAATTGAGGCAATGATTTAACACTTGAACGACATTTAAATAGTGGTTGCTACTGTATTCACAATGCTTCTTTACAACACATTAGAAGCTGATTCATGGTGCACCTTTATCATGGAGCTTCAGTAAGAGAATTTCTGTTTAATTGTCAAAATGCATCTATGATATATATATTGATATAAAACATGCTTAACTCACTTTCTTCTTTTTAAATAAGAGTAGCCTGGTGGGAATAAAAACAAGAACACTAAATTAAGTGGGATGATGAAGTGAAGTTTCTTGGCTCAAAGATAGTGGCTTTGTCATTCAAGGCATCTGCTAGTCTCAGAGCATCCAAAACTTTGATTGTATGCAAGCCCTTCTGACTTCACTGGGTATCATATTTAATGGGTCAGTCAGAAGTGTGTCTACTTTCCCATGCCAAATCAAAACAAAGGCCCGTCCACAAATCCTGGGGTCTCCCTTCAGCTGATGCTAACCATCCCTACTTTACTCCCATTCCGTGAGATTTGTTTGAGCTGGGTCTGGGTCTGCCAGCCTTTGATTGCTTGGTGTTCTTGTGAAACAACTTGGCAACAGTAACTTGACCACACAGTATCCCTTATGTTTTCTTGTTAGTGGAAGTCTACAGATGCCAGGTCAATTGGTACAGCTCTTAACCTGGACAGAGTAAGATATCTGACAGGGCAGCCCATCTGTTTGCTTCTTTTACCTTGACAGACTCTATCTGTGCCTTTTGGAGGTCAAGGAGAATCATGTTAATGACTTGTACAGACTTTACTGATAAAAATGCCTTATCCCAAGTTAACTCCCTTCACTATTTTTTTCTCCACATGGTATGAACTATGAAGAGACAAAACTAATGAAAATTTGGATGTGAAAGTGTGTCAGAGGTGTCTGAGCTATGCAAATACAGTATTCTAGAAGTACACTAGATTTACATAAAAAAATGCTCACATTTATTGCTTTGGGTTTAATGGGACAACAGAGGCATACCGTGCATGCTGATTATCAGACCACATTTGAGGGTTTTGCATGTATCATTTAGAGAAATCATTTTAAAAGATGTTCTTCTTTTTTCTTGCAGAGTGAGAGTATGTTCACCAAACCCATTAGGAGTGCTCAGTTTTATTACCTTGACAAATTCCTCCTTTTTGCATCTGGGCCCTCTCTATACTTGTACCTTTATAACGTGGACACTACACACGATGACATCAAGAGGTAATTACAAGTGATTATATATATATATATATCTATGAATTACTTGGCTACTTTCATAGGAAGTACAAAATAATATCCAAATGATTACCAGTCTAAACTGGTCTTAATTTAGTTGAGTTGATGAGTAATAGTGGAGGTTTTTCTTAGCCATTTCAGCTGTATTTTCTTTGTGGTAATTACCCATTATATACCATGATTTTCCAGGAAATTTCTTAGTAATTAGGGGACTGTAAAAGGAAGCATTACCAATACATATGTTACAGTGCAGGTAATGCAATGCATATAAACAGGGTAATATAGCTCAAAGGATTTATCTATATTATATAATCTATTTAGGAAGTTGGCTTTGTTACTGATTTGTTGACTGGCTTTATTTAGCAGCTACCACAGACACAGCTGACACTCATTACCACCCAGACTACTTGAACTGTGTACTGTAAGCTGACAGGGCTTATTCTGCAGGCCAGGGAAATGAAAATAATGGGTCCCTGTCCACTCTTTTAGCCATGGGTGTTGCTCATTCATCTTTTTCTTTTTTAAGTAGTAATTCCTGTGAGTGGGAAACACAAACTATAATGAGTCAATAAAAATAAAATCTGCTTTAAAGTCTAGTACTGCTCCACTAAATTCTACTACAGCCATACAGCACAGACAGAGTTGAATGCAACTTTCTTCCAGATATCAACAACAGAGTGTTGTCAAATTGGCAAGATGCTTCGTGACGACGGCGGGGACAGACATTGCTGCCTTGTCTGCAGTCAACGATTTCTTTTCTTGTATCCTTTTTACTTGTTGTTATGTGTTACAGTTTACACTGTACTGATGCTATGGAGGGTAAAGTGAACTGTGCCTTCAGTACTTTTATTTGGAGCATCTAGTTGCCCCAGCAGTCAGTTTGTGACGTATAAAGTCTTCACATGCTGCCTCAGGGCTTCTACTGCTGATTTGATCTTTAAATAATTTAGATGTCTATAATTTTTCAGGAATGTCAGCATTCCAACCCCTTGTTAGCATTTACAGTGCATTTACTGTATCTTCCAGTAAATCCACTGAAACTGAACTGCATTTAGATGAGTGTGATTTTGTCAGGAGTTAGCTACCAAGTACAGCTACCAAGAATTAATTTTTTATAGAGGAGAGCTGAGGGTATAAATGGACACCATGCAAAAGTAGTCTCTCTAAATATTCTAAAATCTACATGCATTTAACACAGCATTAAACTGATTAATTGAAATGGCAATGAAAATAATTTGTGATGTTTGTATTATTATATATAATGATTTTTCACTCAAAATGTCCTTTCTTCATCTTAGAGTCAGGTTTAATGGAAAAACCTGAGCATAACAGACTGTTTAGAAGGCTAGATACAACAGTTTGCAAACATCATGGCATGGAATGGTAGAAACTGTCTGTAAGGAAGAAAACTGGCATCTACTCAGCTCATCACCAGCTTCCTGTATTGATCTGTGAATGAGAGAAATGAATGAGGAGAAACATTCTTTGCATATGCTATTGATTGAAATGCTCTTTTAACTTTGATACTTACTTTACTGACCCCCAGATATAATTAACCAAGCTTATAATAATAATGTCATACAATTTCTTAACAGCTGTCTTAGACATTGTCCTTGTGTGTGGTTCAGATCGAACCATTCAAGTATTTGACATGAACGAGGGTAGAGTTGCCGCAGAGCTGCCCGATTCCCACAGCAGAGCCATTCACTGCATTACACAGAACAAGGTGAGGTCATTAAATGTACCTGTCACAAACCAGATCACCCAAATGGGAATGAAAAAGTTAGACCTACTTTATGTTCTTTTTCTATCATATTCGTAATTGTTATTAATATGTAACATAAATAGTGAAGTTGTGTTACAAAAAGCCTATTCAGTATGTGGTCACCATGTGTAGATTATTCAGATGTAAGTAGATATAAAGTAAACAAAGCAGCATATGATGTTTCTGATTAGTTCTCATTTTAAGGTCAGAGACTTTATATTAATTTTGGTTATTCAAAAAAATAGCTCTAGATAGCAGTGTCCCACAGTTTGTAACAGAGTTAAGAGGCATTTCTTAGGAAAAAATGAGCAAGTTTTACCCCATATTTTGACTGATAAGGGGAAAATGACCAAAATTCAAATGCCTTGCTGTGAGGCAAATTCAAAATATTTGCCTCACAGCAAGAAGGTTCTGGGTTCAAGCCTCAGCCAACCTAGTGTCTTTCTGTGTGAGGTTTGCTTGTTCTCTCTGGGTACTCTGGCTTCCTCCCAAAGTCCAAAGACATGCATCTTAGGTTGACTGGCAACTTTAAATTACCCTTAGGCGTGAGTGTGTGTAGTTTGTCTCTAAGTTTCAGCCTTGTGATAGACTCGCAGACCTGTCCAGGGTGTACCCACCCTCTTGCCCAGTGTCAGCTGGGATTGCCTTCAGCTCCCCTGTGACCCTCTTCGGGACAAGCAGTATAGATAATGAAAAAATGCATTGTTTTTATCTCAGTCTGCAGCTTTGTCTCTCCCTTTGTGCATCATTAAGATAGCTATCGGTGTGAAGCTGTGTGAATGAAGAGGCAAATATACAGTATCTCATCACTCCACATACAGATTGAGCAAAGTTTAGATCTGAGCCCCACAGCAAAGAATTTGCTTGGATTGACGTCATTTGAGCTTCATCTTCCATCCTACTGTTGAAGGGTCATGATTTGGCAGTTGTTATAATGTTGCATAGGACATATGTGAGTGTTGCACAAGTTACATAAAGCACAGATTATCTTTGAGGTAATAAAAGCATTACTTTGTGGTATGAACGATAAAAGTCATGGTTAACCAAAAGTTTCCACGAGAGACAGGCAGACAGGACATGCCTTCATCAGTATCTTGCTGACTGAATGTAAATCCATGGTATACTGGGATTAAGACTGTCATAGGAGATGGCAGGAGGAGATTCCATGCTGGATGATGGCCTTGCTGTAATGATGTTCCATGATGCAGTTTGGAATTATGTGCCCTTACTCCCACATCACTGTCTCGAACCAATGTGGGCCCAATTAGCTGGTGTCCACCAAATAGTAAGCTTGAGCCTGTGTTCACATCCATTATAGATCTAATTAGAATGTATTACTGTATCAATCAAACTGAAACTGTAAGTATTATTAATGTCACGTATTCAAGTCTGGGTTTTTGTTATTTACATTTCTTTAGAACTATCACATTACATTTTATAGTGAAATAGATGCCATGGGTTCGCTCCATATGTACCAGCAGCAGCAAAACCATTAATATAGATCATAAAATATATGGAAATTTTGACCAATCTTGCTTATATAACTTAATGGAATACAGAAAAGTATTTGTATGTTTGTGAGAGTGGCCTGCACCCAGTAACCCTGAGGTATTAACTTCAGTCACTTTTGCATGTTGGCCTGTGCATATTTCACCTTCAGATCAGCCTGGATTAGCTGGACACTGCATCTAGTGGCATGGATTAATTACATAAACCCATTCAACTGTGATGCACTCTTGCACACAGCTGACTAAACTCCTTCAACCCAGAGCTGCCTGGTCTTTGTCACGCCAGCTATTGTGAGCCATACATTGTGGAAAGCATGCAGTGTGCTATTGCGTCAGTGTGGGGTCCTCCATCTGGGCGCCTAAGAGTCTTTGGGTACTGTAGAGTTCATACCTGTGGATTAGAGGGATCCTGTCTGGAGACTGCACACATAACACTAGTCTTTCCTCGCCTCTTGCCTTATCGTCCCAAGGTGGACTGAACATCTAGAGCTGCAGCATATGAAGCAGTTTTTCCCACTTCAAATTTCCTTCGCCTCTTCTGCTTAGTTCACCTGGAACTCATCAGAGCAGAGGACTTCTCGGAAAATGGAACTGGAAATGGCCTCTCAGACTCCCGATCTCACACTCTTAATGGAAATCTAAACAAAAAACAGCCCCACCGCTGCTCTCTCTCTCTGTCTTTCTCTCTCTTTCACACATATACACACAGTCACTGATATGGAATTTATTAGTAGATATGCAGAGGAAACTGTTTGTTTACAGTTTAGTTGAAGCCTGTCTCAGAATGGTACATAATGGACAGGAGATGGCACACAAAGACAAACTCTTTTGCTTCCATTGCTGTTTTCTCTCCAGCCTCAATGTGCTTACATTGGTTTTAATGTCTCACTCTACTTTTATATGAACTGGAATAACTAGAGTATATGAATACTGTTTGCCAAGACAGGATTGGCAGTAACAGAATTTTTCCATACTGGACAATAATTTATTATCTGTTTCAGTTAAGCATGTGCTGAGTATGCATTTGTGTGTGTGTGTGTGTGTGTGTGTGTGTGTGTAACACAGGGCTCCATGTTCAGCACACAGGCACTGGATTCATACAACCTCTTCCTCACCAGTGCAGTCACAGATGGTGTGAAGCTCTGGGACCTCCGTACACTTAGGTTGGTATGTTATATGAAACAGGGATGTCTGTATATTCACTTTTACTAAATGCTCCTGTACTGTTTCAGCTTGTGTAAGTTTTTCAGAAGAAACAGTGACATCAGAAATCTCCGTAGCAGTTTAACCAAAACAAGAAAGCATCCTTGCGTAACACATTGCTTTCATGACATTTTGGACACTTTACTGCCATAAATTCATAATTTCTTAGTTTTGTATGGAACCTAAGCACCACTATGGCCTTACACTGGCTGAAGGGCTTATTAATTAAATTTGCTGAAATTAGCCAAAAGCAATAAATGTTAGGCACTTTAAAGAAGAGCTCCATTATTGTTTTTATTCCTCTACTCCTCCTCGACCATATAGTTGAATTGTTTTTTTTTTTTGTTTCATTCTTCATCTGATGAGTGAGTGGCCACTTTTCAAAGTATGTATGAATATTTTCTTTGGCCCATGGTAGCAGATATCCGTATAAGGCAGATAATTCAGGTAGGCTCTCTTGGACTTGAAAATGTTCTTTTTGGCTCAGTAGAAATGATTATTTAGTATTTCATTCTTTCATATCTGAAACTGCTTTCATGTCTAACTCTTCATCCCAGACGCCATCAAAGCCCTACCGCTATCTGATAAATATTAGTGCCTGGTTTCCAGTTCAATTTCTCATTCTGAGCGCTATTGTCAAGCATCCCTCAGTTCCTCCAAGTTTAAACATATGATGTATGAAAACAATATGTGGAAGTTTTTTTTTTCAATCCTGTTAATTTTATTTCCGTCTTTGAAAAACGTGTTTGTTTCTGTAGCTAGTACTAAATACAAAAAAAGTTACAGCTGTCCTAAATCTATGTTTATCTTATTATTGAGGCTTGAAATTACTGCACTCAGTTAAAGGTTAAGTACAGTCATTTTCTATATTGATAGTATTTTCAACAATTCTCATACAAAGACTAAAGCCAAGAGTGAATTGCTTCTACTCGTATTTAAGATCTGGATTAGCTTGTCTGTGCCATAGACCTCCATTGTTGTTCACAGGAGATTAAAAACACATCAGTAAATCACACCTCTGCACTGGATGACATGTTTCTTCATTACAAAACGCCAAACTCAACTGCACATACACGAGACCGCCGTGAAAGTATGAGGAGTTCTAGACTTTAAACAAAGCAGAGAGCTAACAGTAATCTGACTCATCCCCAGTTATTTTATGACTTTACTGTGCTTTTCTACAAATTCATTGACTGTATGGGTGAAAGCTAATGTGTATTCTTACCCATGGCCATGCTGTATATGGCTAATGAAAGAGTATTCTTATTAGACACGCAGCTCTATTGACAAAAGCTCTAAGCTGGAACAAACGCTGGGGTTAGTACTGTATTCTGTCTTTAATCAAACTAGAGAACTTCCAGAAAAACCACATTTTACATTTCACTCTGTAGAAACTTCTGAAACTCAATCTTAATTTTATTTTGCTCTGTCACCAAAGAATCCCTAGTATTTGTGCCCTCTTCCTTTTGAGACAGAAGCACAGACATGCATGATACCCATGTGTTTCCATCAAGTGCTGAATGAGGGTAATGGTTTTTGAAAGTTTTCCACACACATAAAGACAGCGGTTTCTTATAAACCACTGCACTAGTTAGAGTTTATTTTTTAAACCCCCACCCTTCACTCACCCGTTGTATTTTAAAATTACATATTTAAGTGTGCAATGTTCCAGTTCAGGCATCTACAGCATTTAGCATGCTTTAAAATGAAACCACTCAGATACTGAATATAAAGCTGAAGAGAACAGATGGTGATCAGTTTCTCTTCAGTTCTGGATGTATTCTCTTCCATCATTTGATAAATTCATACTGAGCAATACATTGTGTTACTAAATAGATCAATCATATATTTACAGTATATTTAACTGATATCAAACAGTAGAAGCTTTCACCTGACAGTTAAATTGGATGAACTATATTGGCTGGAGATAATGAGCTATGATTAATCTGTTGATTATCTTGATGCCTGACACTGAATACTGAGGTGGATTCAGTAATCGTATAGCCTCCCACTCGAGAGGATCAGGCCCTCCTGTGCAGTCTGTTAGTCATCAGGCAAATGCTGGATAGTTGTCAGTAATACAACATGAAGGGGGTGGGGTTGGGCCTTTCTGACCTAGAAAATCAGATGAGTGAGAGTGAGAAATAGATCATTCTCATCTTGCTGTATATCAAAATGATTAGAGGTCAGATTTTTCACAGATTCTTGTGTGAGTAACTTACACATAGAAAATAACATAAGCTTAGGAGGTAGAAATACATTCTTAAATTCAACTAAGTATTGACGATTTCCTCTTTTTAGTTCTCAGTATATTCTTGTAAGGGACTTAGCACTAGTCCACGACCTCCACAGTCAAGGTTATGAGGTGTTATGTGTCATTTATCTTATCACATCTACTTTTTCCCTTATGACTGGATGCACTAGCTCTCAGTTATGCCCATTTGGTTTGCCATCCCCTGTTTTCTCTGTTTAAAAATGACAAATTAGCTCAGCTGGGTCTTACAGTAATTCTGGAAAAGACCTTTGCACACCTTTTTCTTCTATGTAACTCATGGAGCGTAGGGTCAGCATGCATGAATGGATGGTGTTGCTGTTTTCTTTTCAGTTAGGCGGCTCTTTTTTTGCTGCATTGTCAAGACAGTCTTGTTTTTGGCTGAGCCATCTCAGTCTCATGAGGCCTTTGTTCAGTTGCAGCCAGTGAAACTGTTTGACTGGCTCTTTTGAGGCCAGTGTGTATTCAGATGATAGTGACAGTATACTGGATGAATGAGAAGAACACTACAAAATACGGTAATGCCACTGAATACAACATCAAAGACTGGCATTCAAACAATAAAGTATGCACTTATTGCTTAGGAAATGTATGAACTTGCATTTTATTATAAGGAGTTTCCTTGTGTCCCCCTTGTGTATGTTTCAAGAACTCACTGGTTCTGGCTATATCAAGTTTCTTTATGGTTGCCAGTGAATATGACCTACTTTTAGTTCAGCTTAATGACATTACCATGTGAATGTCAAAGGCATGCGCTCACCTCCTGTCAAAGCCCTGCCAACCTTACAGCCCATATAGAGACTCAAGCTCAGCTAGCTGTCAGTGGCATTGTAAAAAGCATTACATGCCATTGCAAACCAAATGAAACAGCAGAGAAGTTGCACAAGGGGGCCATCCGTCATTTACTACCTCCTCTTTCCTGTGTTTTGTTTGAGTCATGCTCAACTTCTTCTCCTGACCTGGTTCAAATGTAAAACGTGAAGGCTAGAGAGTGGCATTCTGCCCCTCGTTGATAGAATTTGCATTTTTATCTAATCACTTTAACATAAAAATGTCCATAGATGTGTTCATTCCCTCAGTCCCACTACTCAGGCAGTTTTTGTTATATATTTTTTCTTTTTTTTATATGAAATGTGCCAACTTCCTGTTTGACAGTGTCTTAGCACACAGAGTTCAGTGTAAAGTTATCTGAAATGGATTAAACTGTATTGCTTTATACAATGTTTACATATTATGTACTTCTATTATGACCATTTCAGTGAGACAAGCCGGGAAATAAAATACAAACAGTATAATTTAATCCCACAGGGACCCAGTAAAGACATTTTGATGTCACTAGTCAAATATTCAGTCTCTCCTTCACATCAGGTTGGTTTGAGCTTATTAACCTCGCTGATTTCTCACCTCTATGTGCATCTCCTCATCAGATGTGTGCGGCGTTATGAAAACCATCTAAATCGCTGCCATCCATGCTCTGCAGCCATCTCGCCATGCGGCAAGTTTATTGCATCGGGCTCGGAGGATAGCTATGTAAGTTGTAATACTTTGGGTTTCTGTGAACAACACGCTTCTTTCTCCCTCATATGCCTCTCATGATTACTATGATAATCAGACAGAAGGAGGTTGTCCACTAAAGCCACCTATATAGTGTCAGTGTATGAATTCAGTGATGAGCATCACAAGGTTGCAAAATTAAATTAAAATTAATTCCAAATTAAATTGTAGTTGCAATATACCAGAGACATAAGACATTTATAAATAAATGTAATACTTGTATTCATCTTATCAGATCCTGTAAAGGTAAGCAGGAAAACAGCAGCATATCTTTATCAGCTTGACCTCAGGTGAGGACCGTTTGTGCTCGACTCAGAGATTTTTACTTGGGCTCAAGCCTTTTTCCATAGAAGTCAAACTCAGCATTCATGTTGAAACAGAAATGTTTAATTGCTTTTCCAGACTCTGCCTTATATTTGCTTTTAAGACATTTTCAGAAGAGTGCCTCCTTTTTTTCCTCATCCATCTCTCTTTCCTTATGGTGTACGTGCTTGTTGAATGCAGTGGAATAACATATGCATGCTGCTGGTTGTTATTAATTATGTGAATTTAGCACAGCATGGACATGTGAGAGCATCTCTGTTGAGAACGGACATTTCCAGTGTTTCTTGGAACTCGAGAGAGTATACGGCGGTGAGCTGCACCGTATTTATTTGTAGCTTCCCTGAGACTTCCATAAGGCAGACACATTTGTACTTGTCTTAATATATCAAAAAGGAATCATGGGAAGAAAGAGCCTGAATACTCTAAAAAGACTCCCTAGATCATTTTACACATTTTCCAAAAGCAGATTTCATTGTGGTCAATATTAACCTGCTGTATGTACAGAAGAGTTCCACTGTTTTCCACCCATTTTACTTCCCCTCTTAGCATCTGACATGAAATTTATTCTATAGAAGAACAGTTTTTCTTTACATTTGCTAATCAAGATGTAAGCCTGGCGCTTCAGTTTTCAGGCCTCGGGCTTTCTTGCCCCTACTTTCTGCTTCCGTTACTGTTGATACAGACGAATCCGTCTGGGGATCAGTGTTAATTTTTTAACATTCCTGAAAGAATTTTTTGCTTCCAAGTATCTAATGCCCTGCCTGGCATCACTCACGTGATGGAGACACAAGACACTCTACCCACGGACTGTTTGACAGAGCTCACTTGAAGCATTTTTTTTCAGGGAAACATAATACAAAACAGCTGCAGGAATCTGATGAGTTGTCGTCTGGTAACAAACATCCCCACATCTGTTTTTATCTGTCCTCATGGCACCAGGGCAAACTAATGTAACATAAAACTCAGTGATTGTGTTTAGAAAGAAAACTGTGCTACCAATGTGATGACTTGCTCACATATCTATTCTAACAGTTTAAATTTAAGTGCTGATTCTAAGATGTTTTACACAAGTAGTACACATGTAAATCTGTTACAAGGCCAATTGTGAAATCGACTCCTACTTAACACTTAAAATAAAGGGATGCTTAACAGGGTTTTTACTTTTATACTTGCAAAGGTCCTTTAAGTCAACCAGTCTCAATGGCCACTCGTTTTTGAAGCGCTCAGTATTTGAGTGCTATCAGTGTGTGACAAGCCTGAGAAGCAAATGCAGTCATGCTAAAACAAACTCACTCAAAACTTTTAACCACAGTGTAATTAACCACCACCTTTGGGTCTGGTATTACTGTTTGCTGTTTAACAAACTATTTAAAGTTCCTTTGTGCATCAGTGTTTACTGTTGCCTGAACACAAGCGGTTGTACAGGCACTTTGATCACTTTGAATGAGGAGACTTTGCCAGCCTAGAGTTAGTTGTCACCAACTCTTCACATCACTTTGTCTGTTACTCAAAAAGTATTGAAGTGTGATACCCAGTTCCAGATTCCTTTTTAAATATGCTGTTGAACTTATTCCAGAGTGATGACTCCAGAGTCATTTGAGTTTAGTCCAGCTGTTTTGATGACTGATTCTGGCCCAGATATTGCATATTTTATGTGAGTGTGATTATTGATAGCAACAAGACCCAAACCTCGCTGTCTAGCCAGTCTCTGGAAAACCCCTAGTGATCATTAAGAAAATATTAATGACTGTGATCATACTTATACTAAACTATGATGTAATGTGTTAAGATCTTTAGACTGAATACTTAATTACTGGCCCCAAACAAACAATGGACATGACAGTATGGATGTTAGCTGTACACACACATTGTGAATGAAGTTGGATCAAAAGCAAAACTTTAATAGGATAAGCACAAAGTTTTCCTTTCCTAAAGCAAATCTGCATCTGTTCACATCTGCTTGTCTTTCCAATGACTTTGTATCCAGTTGTACCACATCATTTGTACGTTTTCTTCTGAACACACTTGTCTATTGTATGTATCATATTCCTATAATGAGCTTCACTCAGTGGGTCAGTTTAACTGGTTTTAAATAGGTTCATCTTATCTTAAATCTGTACATCACTGCATGGTTGCACTTCACGACTACTTTGGTTCACATACTCCATCTCATTTCAGGCCTATGTGTATGACGTCCGTAGCAGCAGCTACCTCCACAAACTTCAGAGACACTCAGACACGGTGCTCAGTGTGACTTTCAACCCAGCCATGCCGGAGGTACAATCCTTACATTTGTTTGTCCTCATGGTTCTGTAATGTCCTTGCTCTTGTTACTCCCCTATACATTCACAACCCACCTCACAGATCTTGTCATTTTAACTAAAGCACTCATTATAGTTCTTTACATCTTTCTATATCTAAGTTACTGTATGGACAAGAATGAGTACCTTGATATCAGAATAGCAACGTAAAACCAGAGATCCATTTGTTGTATGGTCTTTTTTTTAAATGGATCCCTTGTGTTTTAATGTCATGCCATTTATGTCCAGAGAGACAAAATTCAGCACTGGTGGTACTGTGCAAGTGTGAAATATCAAAAATGCTTTGAATGCTTAGTTTTGTTGCTGTGATCTTTTATTTTGGGTGATCCTCATAAAAATGAACATTAATGAGTTTACAGCTGCTGTCATTGCTCGACCAATCTGTCAGTTTAAACCGGTAGACATCCATAGACGTTCAGGGGCCGTATATGTTCTCACCAATGACCCAAAGTAAAGCTTAATATAGATTACAAGTCTTTTGCCTATCTTGAATTACCATTACAGGGTCAGTGTTTACAGTGTTTACATCAGAATCTTTTCAAGATCTCTACCAAACTCTCTGGAGAATTGTGTACAGAGCAACAGTTCCCTTTTGATGTGTTTTATTGTCCAGTTCAAGATTTTTCTTTGGAACTGTTCAAAGCACATAGATTTGCAAAAGAAATCTTCTAAAATATAACATCACAGCCTCTGCTGGATGTCTCATGAGACTTGTTATCCACTGTCTTTTTGGATTTGAGGCACATGTTTTAAATGTTCACATCCATTTGTATAGTTCCAACTAATTAAAATTTGCAGCAGCACAATGCATCCAGATTTCCAAGTCTGAAAGTGGAAAGTTTGATCCATGGCCATTTTCTGGCTGAATAAATAGTAATCTGCAGAGTTTGAAGAACCACTTCATTAGTTAGGACATGCTCGCCCTGTACTGCTGCAGGTCCTGTTTTGTTTGATAGAGCATGCAGTCAGAGAAAAATCAAGAACTGGCACTGTAGACTGAAACCTAACTGTATTTTCCATCATAGGTGTCAGGTGAATAGATTAAAATATTGCTTTAACCTAAATAGATAATAGGACACAAATGTGCCCTACAAGCTACTTACCATAGTACACTTGCAGTAGTTCCTTGACAGATTGTTTCCTCATGTAAATCTGGCTTTTAAAATTTTGTTTGTTTGTTTTTGCAGATTTGTGCAAATAACAAAGCTCTTTTCTTTACAGCATCTTATCTTTTTTTCTGTGTAATATCATACAGATTTTTTTATGTGGTCATTTTGTACTGGGCATTACTAATTTATGTTCTCAGACTTGTGGCACTGGCCACTTCATACAACAGAAACATGCTAAGATTTGAGCAGACTGGAGTCATAAAATTCACAAATGTATGAAAGAACCAGATGGCTCCTGAAGGTCTGCAGATAAATAAAGAGCTGACAAGTCTCCCACCTTGAAATACCAGATGTCTACACAGGGATGGTCTGATTGAATTAAAACCATTAGTTCTTGTTCAGGTGTTGTACATGGACTGAGTGAGAGCTCTGGCTTCACTGTTAGTACCTAGGCCATGTAAGTGAGGCCAGTCATTTTTGTCAGCTGTGTAGGCTTTTGGTGTACCTGGTGCATTGTACTCTTCATATAGACTCAGGCTTTATGTTTATTTTGGCAGTTGTGTATCTCATTCACATTCTGTTTTAAGTACAGAAATGATTGCTCATGAAAGAAACTTGCCATGTCATAGCCACTAACCAGTAATACTGTACTTTATTGAATTACAGCTCCTAAGCAATTTTGTATTGGTGGGCAATCTTGTTGAGTGTTTGTCAATCAGTTTTCTGAATGCACTTAGTACATAGCTAGGGACAGCCATGTGCATTCACGACCGCACAGCTACCTTTTGTTTGCTAACTCAGACAAACAGAGCTGTTCTTGATCAGTAGCTGAAATCAACGTGTGTTATGTAATCTTTCTCAGGAACTCTTAGAGGGGGGAAGACCTCTACAGTTCTTATGGAATTAAGAAACTGAAACTATGAAATTTAAACATCCTATATTTTGATTCCATTTGTAGCGGTTTTATGACTTCTCGGCGGTGTTAGCTAAGTTAAGAATAGAAGTTTGTTCTTCAGTTTATCTTTTACCCTGGAAATAGTATATGTGTTCTTCATAGTGTTATACTGTATGTTCTTCATCAACAGAAGCAGTGTCCTCATTAGCCATGCCAATGGATTGTTTTACAGCAAAATCTCCTTTTCTTCTAAACCTTCATATCTTTATCATGTTAGTCACATTTATTTAATTAGTTATTTTATTTGTATTACACTGGGGAACTTCAGTTTCTCATTGTAATCGGTCAAGATAGAGAATGTTGTGATTTTAAAATTTAACATTTTCAGCTATTAATTCAACATCATGAAAATTTGACATTTATAAAAACACTGGATGTGGTTTCTGGTGTAGGTTTCAGTTTGTAATACTTCTTAAATCTTGACGTGGTTGCCCTTGAAAGGCAGCCTACGGGTTATGATTTGCCACTTGGTTTAGTAAAACAGAGATGTGTGAATGAAAAATGATTCGAAGTTCAAGATGTCCTAGGAAATGGCTGCTCAGTCTTACAGTAAGGCCATGTAATATCATAATGGCAAAATCAGTGTGTTTTCTGAGCCTGTGTTTTCTCCTTACTAAGACATGGGGAAAATACTGACAAAAACATCCACAACCTGTGCTCACCTGGTTTTTAGCTGCATTTGATGGCCAGATGTTCTAATGGTTACTGCTGTGAAAACCTTCCAGAGCAAGACAAAGATAATGCGATGCATTTTTTTCCTCTCATTTTTCACTTGTTTTCCACTCTAATACATAAAAGAATTTCAGGCAGGCAGATCTTGCTCCACAGTTCATTCCCTCAGACTTATTCCTGTACTTTAGTCTCTAATGAGGGCTCCCAACTTTTACTGTTACTTTGTTGTGTCGACTCGTAAAATCTTGTGGGATTTCACATGGCATACTGTGCTACTGTAAAGTTATATAAGCTCCCCCGCCTTTGACCTACTATAAATGTTTTACTCAAAAGGTTGACTTCCATGTATTTTCTCATTTGTAACAGGAGTGATTTTATCTCTCCTCACATAAGGATGTTCTCTTAGTCATTTATTTTGAGATCAGATTTGTGGCAGACAAATGGAACGGTGTCACATTTGAGCAGTGCCTAGAAACAGAAGTGTTGATACCTGATCTGCAGTTACATCTTGCAATGATTTTTGGAATTTAAGAGCTTTATGAGCTTTATTTAAGTACAGGCAAAGAAACATACTGTAGCCAGAGACAAATCAGCAGTGACCTCAGAGAAATAAGTTACTGGGTTGGACTAGAGAAACTGCTGTGCTCCATCTGGGTTGCTCAGATTTCTGTATTGTTTCACCCCAAGCTGTCGAAACCTCCAATTACATTATTCCACATCAGCAGCAGAAATGTCTGTGAAGTATTGGCCCAAGATCAGATTATTAGTGAAGATTAGTGAATATGATTTTTTTTAAAGGACAGATGACTCCTCTTTTTTTTATTTAAAAGATCTTATTTGTGTGTGTCTGTGACTGAGAGGATGCCTTCTATCTTTCCAACTAGGAAGATGAACAAAGAGTGAATCATCTCATTGGCTTTCAGGTTTTGTAGCCAGGCAAAAAAATGCAGCTGGTGTCCCACAGAAACTTTTTACTATATCATTTCATTTCTTTTTTTGTCCCTCTTGCCTGGCCAGAGAGGAAAACGCTCACTTCTTACTGTAGTGGCCAGACAGCAAATACAAAGATGGGCTGTCTTCTCCAGAATGTCACATTAGAGTGAGACACAGACTGAGCTGAGACAGTCTCCCTGAGGTCAGTGTTCAGCACAGCTGGAACTTAACAGGAAGTTAGGAAATAAGGTCACAAGATTATTTTTGAAGTATCAAAACCTTGCATCAGTAATCTAATTGTTGTCCTCCTGCTGCCTGGATGCCCAAAATATGAAGGACACTGTGTAAAATGTTATATGTAACATGAACATATGACTGGTCTGTACAGCTTTAATGCATTAAGGTAGCTCAGATTTGCACATATAAAGTAGCCTATCCTGTTTTTTTAATAACTGCAGATTATTGGAGGTTTATTTTTGAACACTTTGAATGCACAGAGATCAAACTGAAACTGATCCCGTCTTCAAACACTGTAAGACAGCAAATGACAATACTGTATTTTCCAAATTGTTAGAGTATTCATTAAAAAGAAAAAAAAGGTGATAGGGTTTAAGATGAAATAAATGGGATAAAATGTACCAGGTAATAAGCTTCAGAGGTGCTGGTAGGTGGATATAGCCAGACTAGCTGTTTCCCTGTTTCTAGTCTTTATGCTAAGCCAAGTCAATGGCTTCTGGCTCCAACTACATACAGTGCTTATCATACAGGCGTGCATCAGTCTTCTCATCTAAAATATATTTCACATTGATTGTGCAGTCATTTTGGTGATGGAATTAAAATTGCTTTTAAAATGGCTGAGATATTATCCCATTGAAAGAAAGGAGTTCTGTGATTGTTTCAGGCTAAACTATTAGTTTTATTTGTGGGTGTGCCCTGCATTTTTCAGAAACATTTCACGAATCATTCCTCACCCAGCTTCTGAGGGAAACACATGGACTGCAGAGTCTGACGGGATCTGTGTTTCATTACATTCCCCCAGGTCCAGGGCCTTGTAAATGAGCCCTGCCTACAGGCTGTCGGAGACTGGCTAGAGGGCAGAAGGGTGAACAGGCAGGGAGTCTGAGATGGGGAGATAATCAATTCCTGTTATTGCCATTATTTGGATTGTTTTAATTACCACCCATAATGCTAACTATGACAAGAACTAAGGTTAGATAATTGGAAATTTATAAAAAAAAAATTTAAAAATAATGTCATGTCTCCAGTGTGATGTGAGTTTCATTTTCCTCAGTTGCTTTAGTAGTTATTAAAATAAATAGTATTAATCCATTAAGTTTAATAGGAGGTTAAAGAGATCTGCCCTTTCTCTGTCTCTTAGGTGAATCAGCTTCTTCCTCTCAGCATGTGCAGTATAGAACATCCTGGCATGCTGAAGTATGTGCTTTACAATTGAATTGAAGTACAGTATGTGCTTACAATTTTCCCTCCTTTGGGAGGGAAAACACATTGCACGTTGCACTCAGCCTGCCAGTTTCTACAGACGGACACTTTCTGTCATCCAAAATGCCAGTATACTGTATGACAGCGTTGACCAGTGAAAATCTAACCCACATTGCATTCCAAACAACATTTTTTCTCACCCACACTTTCAACATTGCTTCTTCTTTGCATGTCCTAAGAGTGTTTCTAAAATGTGGGAAAAAGCTAAACGAAAGCAAAATAACCCCCTTATAATGGCCCACCAATGAGTTTGACTTTTGACTTGTTGGTCACCCAAAGACAGATGGAGACTGAATGTGTCAAATAGCAGATGGTTTCTGGATGATGTAACAGAAAAATCCATTAATGCTATTATAACCTTCTTAGAAAGTGTGATTTAGCTTCAGCTCTACATTACATGCTAGCATAGTCAAGAGAGAGGTTGCAAAGATCACTCATCCAAAGAAGATTAAATCCATCCAAGTCATAATATATTTCAGTCATCCTTAGAAATCAGCTATTGTGACCCCCTTTCCCAGCACCGACAGCTGTGTGCTGGTAAAAGATGACTTCTCCTACATAAAACGGTTTTAGTGCATGGGAAAAATGTTGGACTATTGTTGTACCAAATGTTTTTTATTACTGCTTGGCAAACCATTGTTTTCCCACTGTTCATATTTTTTTTAATAAAGATACTTTACAAACACCATAAACTCCCTCTAATATCACCATAAATGACACCGATGTTCCAAAGCAGAACTGGGCATTCACCTATGCATTCCCATCTGTTTGTTTGTTTTGTTCGTTTGCATTGCAGTTTGTTGAGTCGTCCTTTAAGACTTTGAGTGGGATTAATTAATTACAACATATGATATACTCTCACCAGCCACTTTATTAGGTACACCTGTACAATTATATGCACATTAATGCAACACTTCCACCTTAAAAACTGTGTTTATGAAGCTCAATATGTTTCAGTTTTTGGTGAAATTGTCATAAATGTATAAATTCAATATGTTCACAACTGAGGTCATAGTTAAAGATGGTGTTGTACTGGACTACATTATATTCAGAGGTGTCTCTATAGTTTTGTCCACACATAAGAGGCCCAGAATATTAGGGACACCTCTGAATATAATATATTCAGGTCTTAGAGTGCTGCTGTGTCAGTTGATGTTAGCTTACTGATATGCAGGGTCCTTATTAATCTGTAAACATTCAAGTCAGCATGACTAATACTGGCAAAATCAAGAGTCCCAGTTTGATTAAACAAAGTTATATAACAGAGCTCAAGCCACATGGATTTGTGTTATTTGTGATTAATGGCAGGTATGAAAAATTAGGAATTTCACTGGGTTACAGATTGACCTCACTTTTTTTTAGGAACCAGGTGTGCTCTTATGCAACTTGGTCCTCCAAGCAGAAAGTCATAAAAAGAAGAGTTATGTGTGATGCATTTCCTGAGACGCATCATCCACAACAGTAAAAGCTAAATGTGATGTCATTTTTTGATCTGTATTTTCTAGCTGCTGACTGGAACCCTGGATGGGAAGCTGAGGCTGTTTCAGTCAAGCAGTGGGGTCCATCTGTCTCGTGACACCAGTGCCCCAACTGGAATGACTAGAATATAAGAGTTTTGTTTTTTCCTGGTGGTTTAATGAAGCTGAAAATTAGATACTGGTTTAAAAAGTTTTCTATGTCTTTGTTTGTTCATTTTTACTTTCATGCTTCATCTCGTCAAACGGAGCCACCCACTTCAGCACATTCTGTGCATCTTTGCACCACTTTTCTTTTGACTAAGACCTAAAAGGATATCACTGATTTGAATGACTTTCATGAGATTCATTTAACTACATGAGGCAACACTTATTCATTTACAGATAACTGCTGCTAAATATGTCAAAAACAATTTTATCAGTACTTTTGTACATGCATATTCTGGATGATTAAGACTCAGATTTTGTTTGTTCAGTATGTGGAACAGATGTACATCTGTACCAGTGGTTGTGAACACTGCTTAGCAGATCAGCACACAAAGCTATGACATCAACTGGGTGCAACCTCTTTGGCTGCCAGACGCACAGATGCTACTACTGTTCATACTGACACACCCGCCTGCACTGTTTGAGCTCTGCATTTTACTCTCCTCTGCCTCAGACACAACAAAATATCATCTTCACTCAACTGGAAGAAATTAGGATTCTGACGCTAACATTTTGAATAGATTGCATACAGTATTTATGGTGTATGTAAAGTATAACGTGTTATATCCATGTGATGTCCCCTTCTGTTTTCTAGTTTTATTACTGATCTCATATTTTTTTGTGAATGTGGGGTTATATGCAGATGATACACACACACAAACACACACACACAGATATTATATAAACCTCAACTATTGCAAATTAAAGAGACTTTTCAATCTGGCCTTAATATTCTACAAACTTGTCAGCTAACAAAATTAATAACAGTGTGGTACACAATGGTCTTTAGTCAGAGACAGAACCTCAACTTCAAATCCAGTTCTCTGGTTTTACTTTGTAACGATAGTACACCTCTCCAGAAACTTGATATAATTAAATATGTGGGTTTCTGGATTGACTTACCATTAAACCACACATTGATCATATTATATAAAGAAAGTTAATTCTGGTGTTTGTGTTTTGTATCACTCCAGACATTGTTTTGAATTGAATGTCAGAAAGGGATTTGCTTCACTTGCATTACTCCCATTTGTTTTGAACTAATGTTCCTGAAGATATTTCACTGGCAGTTACTTAATTTTCTTTTGATATCTTCTTGCAGTTTTTTTTTTCTTCACCAGAGAAACTTGACCTCCTGCTAGTCTTCCATTATCGCTGCCAATATGTTATCACCCACAGCTAAGTCTACATAGAGGCTCAAGGAAAAATCTACCTGTCTGCGGTGGAATGAAATTTCAAGTGTCACTCATCCCTCATCCATTAGGAAAAGATTTCGGATTTTATCTGACGCTGACGATAGAATGATAAATCCGCTGATAACCGTCGTCTCGACTCCCTCAGACGGAGGTGAGGTTTCAGAAGACTGCTCATATCCCTTAGCCTCTAATCTGCATTTGATTTACTCATTCATTTTGGACTATGTGCTTTAATTGATACTGCAGCAGTCTGCCTGTGAAGACTGCTACCTGTGCAGCACCAGCCTCAGCTAGGTCAGAAGAAATATAGCTTTGAAGTTGGACACTATCAGCTGCCAGGTCTGCTATCACAAAAACCGGTGGTATACATTAAAGACAGCAGGGCTTCGCATGATTTATGTGGTAGTACCTATTCTTTTGTCATACACCACATTATTTATGTATATGTGTGTGCATGCCTTTTATGCTACAAAGATAGGTATGTACTGGCAAGGTTAAGTCTGCCTTGTCACAGTGAGCTTTAGTGTTCCTACAAGCAGTTGGAGACTTTTTTACTGGAACAAAATACAATAAATTGTCTTTTGGGTAAATTTATGGTGTCATGTTCTTTCTCCATTTTAATGTGTGTGCGTGCATGTGTGTGTATTATGAATTAAGATTCAGTGACCACACGTTCACAAACCAAAGTGATGGATTGGTGTAAATGCACATTCCTTGTCTCTGTGAGGTCATTTTGGGTGCTCTCTTTCCACTGATCTCACCAGTAAAGAATGACATGTTTATAGTAACAAATTAGTGGGATTCAAGTATAGCCCCACCCATACATCACAACGCAGTCTGCTCCAAAATTTGATTGCTCACAATACTTATCATTCAAATTGGCAGAGAGAAAAACAGCATGACTCAAACTTTAAAGGGTATGAGGACCGTGGATATGACAGTGCTGAACAAAGCGTGTCACACTGGGGCGTGATGCAGTGCAGAATACACAGTCTAGAAGTTTATTTTGCATTTTGACATCATCTAAAACAAAAATATAATCTGCACATGCCTGCAACACAACTCTGTAACCTGTAAAGTTCCTTTGTCGGTTCACCGATTCTCTGGTCTGAGCTCTCAACACAGGCCTTCACCTTCCCTCATGAGTACTACATATTAATAAAACCAAGATACACATCATGAGGCATGTGCAGTGACCCCGCCCCCACCCCAGCCTCTGAGAATCTCTGCTCTTCTGTTTTCATGAACTCAGTACAACTCAAAGTCGAGGGAGGAGAATATTTGCACACATGTCAAAAATGTCATTTAGCTATGAATCATGCAGGTCTTACGCAAAGCTTTTCTGAAGATCATATAATGTTCTATAAATTTTTAGAAAGAAATGTGGCCAGACTGATGGATATTAAAGCAATCATTTAACATGAGTAATGTTTGTTTTGCTAGGTTTTATCGCTGACAGATAGAACATAACAGTGATTCAGATTACTGACGATTTACTTGAGGCGAGCTTTCAAATGCTCCCTAAAACACCTGGTGTAAACTAATGCCCAGATCAGACTGGCCTGTCATGAAAGAAATAAAATGTCCAATGACTGCAACATGTGTTTGTTTTACCCCAAACAGTGTATTAAAGAGAAAGTCAATCAGAAGCAGCATCTGGGCAACCTTACGCTGCCCTAACACTCAGGTCTGCTCCTGGCACCTCCTTTCTAATCGCTTGCGTGCATCACAAGAGTCGTGAAAGATGGCAAACCACAATAGGCCAGGATCTAAACTGCAGTCACAACAATTCATGACTCTTTGATCAACTAATCTGACCTAATAACATCTGTAAATGAGGGGAATCATATGGTCTGATCTTTTGCATGCATTTCATGTAGTGGTGGAATGTAATTGGGATGGAGTAATATTCAGCACAATTAGTACTTTTACTTTTGATACTTGATGTGCATTTTGCTGATAAAATACTGTATGTACAGTAAAAGCACATTTTTCCATCCCTGATTTTATAGGATATCAGTTGTTTTGACAGTTAGCATGTGCAGCAATATTTCATGCATCCAACCCTTCAGTAGCTATCCTGTTGGAGGTTGTGGAGGAGCTGGAGCCAATCCTAGATGACACTGGGTGAGAGGCAGGGAAACTCCGGTCAGACAGGTTGCCAGTCTATCATAGGCAGCAATAATCATAATGCTAAACAAAGAAAACAACGTGGCCTGCAGAAACTGAAACTTAAACCTCTGTCTGCCTATGTAGAACCAGACAGAGGCAGAGGACCCAACTGCAGACACTAAACAGACAGACTATCATCTAATGTTAAAGTGTTTATTATAGACACAAGGGGAAAATAAGGTTTTCTTCAGGTCCAGGCAGACAAGCTGAACAGGGGCAAGCAGAGGCGAATGAGTCTGAAACAGCGGTAAGAGGTTTGCACGCAGTCTGAGCAGAGTAATAATCCAGGGGAGTGGGTTAAACAGTCCAAAGTCCAAACAAGGTTCAAAACACGAGGAGCATGAAAAAAATCACAAACACTATGAACTAACTGAAACTACTTTGAAACATACAAGTATTTATATAGAGGGAGCTAATCAGGGGATTGAAGATGGGTGTGGGAGGTGTGGCTGGATAGCAAGGGATGAGAAGCAGAGCAGAGCTTGAAGGAAAACCTGGCGCTAACTGTAGGCTGGGTGTGGGCAAGTCCTCTAGAAGGTCCAGAAGAAACATGAAAACATGGGATGGAGACAAGACCAGAGCTGGGATTGAAACAGTTCATGTCCATTCACATGCATTTCTTTGTGAGTATGTAAATAAAGTTTTTTAACTTCTTGAAGAAATGACACAGGTGTTAGCCAGCCTGTGTTTTTAACTTATGTGGCTTACACTGAGTCATATTTTTGGCTTGAATGATACAGCGTATGTCCCAGTATTCAGTGGCTCCTAAAAAAAAAACTCTTTCTAACCACAGTACTGTAATGTATACAGTTAACTGTAAAAGTTTAACATGGATGGAAAGCAGTGGA